AATCTAATTCTTCCAATTGTGAGGTAGCAGATATGCCATCTTCACCCTGATGTTAAGCAAGAGATGTAGCCATTTATTAGCAAGCCATATTTATATTTAAATATTTTGCCAATTACATCATTTTCACCTGTAGCCTTACTATTTTTGAAAATTTATGAGTTCTTTGTTTCTCACTTTTATTTTTTTTTGGCAGAAACATGTTTCTTGGCACAATTCCACTTTGAATCCCTTTCATTGCTGTATAATCTCTAAAACAACTCTTACAGTGTTCCCTCATGTAAGTTCCATTCCAAATAATTTCCTCAAATTTATTTTTAATTCCAGTCATTCTGCTGGGAATACCTTGTTTATGACTTTTCAGCTTTACAGCTATTTCTCAAGCAACTTGTTTATTTTTATGAAAATTGCTGTGCATTTTTTCTGCCTTTAAAACATCTTAGCCATTCTTTATTCTCTTTTTGTTGCTACAACTTGTTTTTTCTCTCATAATAAAATCAAATATCTTTGTAAGGGTCTTTGGTAAGTTTTTATGGTAAAAAGAAAGGTTGACATACAATTCAGTATTATTGGGAAAGGGAAAAAGTAGAACAATAACATCATATGTAAATAAAACTTTGTGCAGTTATATAACTTGGTAAAGATATTTGCCCACCTGCAGTGTGAGTATGGACTTAGCATCCCTTAAAAATGGTAAACATAAAATTTATCAGTGTAGGCATTGTATCTGGAAATGATAGGGGTGATCAGAGAACATCTTGAGGATAGGAGCAAGAATTTCTACTTCTCTCTATCAACAAAAGTAAACTCTCTGCAAATAAGCTTATGAAATCTCCTCCCCCCAATAAAATTAATGGGAGGGCATCAAAACGAATTCTGGAAAAGGCCCATCTATAATAGTTTAGAATAGATTGTGTAGATACCTTGTAGTAGAGGATATATGTATAACGTTTGTCAATAGCATTCAGTGGCAGTGGTGATGTCATTTTGACAAAGTCCTCATATTTTCTCTTTTACTATTGATTTGGTTTCTCCAGGGTTAATAGGCCAAATATTCAGGAAAAAGACAAAGACTGCAAAGTTTGGCTATACAGATGCGGTGCCAATAATAGATTCAAATTATTAAATCTTGACAGCAGCAGAGGCATCAGGCCTGAAAGGTCAAACATGACTCTGAATCCTGAGAATAGAATCCTAGTCTAGGCCTGAGCCTTAATACTTGCCACAGTGGCTTCAAGCCTCAATATTGCATTGGGAATGCATTTTTGGGTACCGAACAAAGTCCTAAGGAAATTTGATTGAATGGCTTCAGAGGCCCCCAGGGGTATACCATAAGGTATGTATGGGTGCTATTGTATCCCATATAATAGGTTGGCAACTGCTTTAGTCATAAACAATTTAACTGCTGCTGGGATCTAATTTGCCCCCTGTTGCCTATGAAATTTAATTATTGCTTGTGTGCTCTTTTGGCCAATAGAAGAGGCATAATTTACCTAGGCTGTTAATTTCCTAGAGGCCTGAAATACTATTCCCAAGTATTTAAAACATTTGACCTGCTCTGATTCAGGGGAATCAATTGTCTACTTCTGCTTTTGCCTTTTGTTTGAAAAAAACTAAAACTTTAGCTTTATCATAATTGATTATTAATTGTTCCTCATTAGAGTAGGATGTCAGGGTTCTCAGTGCCTGCTTTATGCCTACAAAAGACAAGGAGCAAGAGATAAATCATCAGAAGGGGCGTTGGTACTTACCTGACACACCCTTTCTCTGTGAGCTGTGAAGAGCATCCATTGTTTGTTTGGGATGATACTTCTGTCGCTTGTTTGATAGGCTGGGCTTTAATTGAGAGGACCCTCCTCCTCCTCCATGGGACTCCTCCCTAGCGTCCCCAGTTTTGGCGAAGTTGAAGTATGAAATATTTCTTCTCCTTCACCCTTTCTAATACTTGGCCGGAATAGCATCCCACCAAACAAATAAGGGTGTGGATGGATGCTCTTCACAGCTCACAGAGAAAGGGCGTGTCAGGTAAGTACCAACGCTCCTTCTCCAGATGAACTGTTCAGAGCATCCATTATTTGGGACATACCAAAGCTTGGCGTGTCTTACGGGAGGTCTTCCGTCTGGCTTGGATTCCCCTTTTTCTTGGTCCCTATGGACCCTTTGTAACACTCTCCTGTCAAAGGCAGCCTCCGTAGAGGCGAAGACATCTTTCTAATAGTTTTTAAATAAAAGGCGATGGTGAGGCCCATGTTGTCACCTTGTAAATTTCCTCTATTGGCGCTTGTGACCCATGTTGTCAACATCGCAGCACTCCAGGTCGAATGAGTGGTGATGCCCCTGGGTACAGGAAGAGACTGTCTCATAGGACTTGGGAATTGTGCTCTCAGCCACTTACTGGTCATTGAGGAAGAGGTCTTGCACCCAATGGTGGGTGGTTGAAAAGAAACGAAGAGAACCTCCGTTTCCTAACACACATCGTGTGGTTGAAATATATAGAGAAAGCTCACCTTACATCTAGACTGTGGCATTGTCGTGCCAGATTTTATGTCGGTTTCAGACAAACGTACATGAGTATCAGTTCCTATGGTCTGTGGAAACCCAAATTTATCTATGGGTGAAAGATGGATCTGGACTAAGGACCACTCTGTCTGTGTGAAAAATACAGAGCTCCTGTCTAACTGACAAGGCTACTAGATCCAAGATGTAACTGGCCAATGTAATGGCAACCAAGAGAACCACCTTGTATGTTAGGAATGGAGACTCATGGTCTACATGGGCTCAAAGGGAGTTTTCTTGAGTGTGGTAGGGACCTTGTTGAAGTCCCACGTGTGATATCAATGCACTACAGGAGGCTGTAAGATTGTAGCCCCACGCAAGAAACTTGCATATGCATGGGTGATGAAAAATGGACTGCAAGTCTCTCCTGGCGATGACCGATGCTAAGGCCTCCCTTTGCCTGTTTATATGAACAAGATAATAATGAAATGTCATTTAAATAACACTGCTGTCTAACAGGTGTTCCCCTGAGATGAACAGCCAGAGCCATCAGAACCTTTGTAAGAACCTTGGGCAGATGACAACCCGAAGGACAGTGCAACATATTCAAAATGTTGAGTATTATAACAAAAACTAAGAGGTTTGCTATGTGAGGATCTAATTGGAATGTGGGGATGGGCCTCCATTAAGTCAATGGAGGGTAGAAAGTCGCTCCTTCTAAAGCTCAGAAGTATGGAGTTCAGTATACTCATCTTAAGCCTCCTATAAACTAGGGACCAATTAAGTCATTTTAAAACTAAAATTGCCCCTGCCGATCCGGTGCCACAGGTCGGTTGCCTGGATCTCCAATAAATGAACAATAGCTGTCTCCATCATGCTCCCTTTAACAGGATCCCCAGAGAGAGGGCAAGTAATGCAAAGGTTCCGGGGAGAGGATGGAAATTCTATAGCCAGGCCTAATCTTCTGATATCTCTAACCCAGGAAAGAGAGGTAGAGGCATCTGTCCGTGAAAGGCTTGAGCCTTCCACCAATAGGGGCACAGTCGTGAGGCCTATGTTGTGCCTCGGAGACCTCTATTTCATGTTCCTCAAGAGATTCTTTTGGTCTGCCCTCCCCTTCAATATCTATCTCCAGATCGGAAACTAGCCGACTGTTGGTGATTCATGCGTCCAGACGGTCCTGGAGTCTGGAGAGAAAAAGTCCCTGGTAGAGGGAATGAAAGAACTCTTCAAAAAGCTGGGAAGGACTATTTTGTGGTCTATGAAAAGAGAGGAACTTATTTTCTGCTTCTAGTCTCTATCAGAGATAGGTCAGGGGCACCACCAACCAAACTATCTCCCTATATTGGGGAGGAAGCAAGCTTCCATTAGTTGTGTGATATCTGCTTGCCAATGTCTGAGCCATAGCAGTAGGCGAGGAGTAACCTGAGATGCCCTGGCTTGAGCAGATAATTTAATAGAGTTTTGCGGCGTCCTTATGAGCCCTGATGTTGGAATTTGAGATAATCTCCCTCAGATGGCGGAGCTACCTGAGAGACGATCTAGTAAAAAAAAGGGATGCGGCTGACTCCGCTCTTATGGCCCCCACATCAGATCGACATGCCCTACATGGAGACAACTTGACCCTGTATATCCTTTAACTTGAGAGCCTCTTCTGCTTCTGTTGGAATTGCAGAGGATGATGATAATTGCCATTATTGTTTTATCTACTATCCTGGTGATGAGAAATTTAGCAGAATCAGAAAACCAAATTAAAATTTTTCTATCATATCCTGTAAGAGGGGTGTTCGCCACTGAAGAGACCCCTTGTTTCTGGACGAGGTCCAAGAACCTCTGTGGGACAGTTATAACTTCCTCTTACATTATTGGTTGGGAGAAGATTAAATGGTCTGACCCGCCTTACAGTAACGATTATTGGGCTGAGGGGGAATGAAATATCAAGGCAGGCAGGCAGTAGTTTTTTTTTTTTTTTTAAACAACAGAGACTTGAAAAAAATCTGAGGGTGAAACAGACCTGAAAGTCGGTGGTCTGGCTTAATGCCTTCAATGTCTGACATGCCCCCCCCTTTTTAGGGGATCCGCCTCTGATTGATTTTGGTCACTGTCATGAGTAGACCCTTCCTCAACCTGTTCCATCTGGTCTCTAGTTCTCCCTAATCCTGTGCATCATGTAAATGTGTAACTGGATTATATAATACTCCCCTGAAGGAGGTATTTGCTGGTAATAAAGGTCCGTTCTGCATAGTAGCTAAATCGAGTGAGAATCGAGGTCAGATTGTGGAGGCTGCCTAGCCATCAACTTCTACTGTACCCTGGCCGCAATGCCTCTTAAAGTCGCCATGTCCCTCCAGGCCTTCAATTTGTCAAGGATATCCTCTGGGAGGAGGAATTCTGGTGTGGTCCCACAACTGTCTGTCAGACAAGTAGTGTTGCTGAAGGCCTGGGTTGAACCAGTCCCTCTGAGGCTCTCCTGGATGGCGTTGAGAGATCCAGGGATGGAGGCAAAGTGAAATATGGAACATTCACAAATTTGCATGTCATCTTTGCTCAGGGGCCATGCTAATCTTCTCTGTATCATTCCAATTTTAGTACATGTGCTCCTGAAGTGAGCACTCTGGAACTGGGACCAGCCTGGCTAGGGAAGAGGACTGAGACTTCTGTTCAACCTCCCTCTAACACATTTTGGCATCTCTTGGCATCCTTTGTTGCCTTAGAGGTCTCTCTAGGACATTTTGACCTACTCTGAGTTGGTTTATTGTCCTCTGGGGGTATTTTGGGTTGCCCTTGAAGATTCTGACCTAAAGCCCATGAGGTGAGATATCTATATCTATATATCTATATGTGTATGCAATATTAATGGACTGTTGACTGGTCCAGAAGCCTGATGTAAACAGAGGCAGGGAATCCTCTTGATATTTGCTCCCCCCCCCCTTTTTGGTAAATTCAATTTGTTATTATGTTATTATTCATAATAACATTGATATCATTAATATTATGTTATTATTGATAATATTTTTGTTATATCTGTGCACATCTACTCAGATAAATTGTTGTGCTGTTACCAAACTCATAATTAGATGACTGAATATGGAATCAAATTGTGAAGCCAAATAGAGAACACGTTTCAGGACCTGTATTGCAATTGGGTGATCCTGCAGTAAGGGCCCTCAACAGTTTCCTGCCCAGGCGGACACAGGCCTTGGATCTCGCTGTTACTGTGCTGCTATATTCTGTGAAGGCTGCCAACTTAAAAATGAAGCCCGATAGTCAACCTCAGAAAGAGGTCCGCAATTGGCATAAATGTCCCCTGGACCCTCACGGAGAGATCCTTGTGAGGGGAAGTGGCCTCTCAACAGATAATGCCATGGAATTCGTATAAACAAAATGATGCCGGTGTTGTTTTAGTCATCAAGATGTAGCATCAACCATCACCTCTTATTGTGAGCCGATGCGAATCTAACTAGAATTTGAGAATTTGAGCGGGAGAACTCTGAGTCCTCTGGCTCCCACCCGATCAATAGTCCTTGCTTCTTCTATATATCTTGCGGGAGTATATCTGAAACTACAGAATCTCCTGTGGAGAGATACCTGAGGGTAAGGGTGCTCTGTCCTGCTTAGTGACCGGAGTTATAGGGAATTCCAATCAGAAGGAGCACTCTGTTGTTGGCCAGAGCAGTAAGCTGCACCTCCGCAGAGATACATTGGTGTATTGTTAATTCCATCCACAGTCTCATCTTTGCGGGGATCTTTTCCGGTAAGTCATCATCTTGACAGAATCTGCCTGCTGTTGGAACAATGTGGCCACAGAAGTACTTCGTGTCACTTGTACTGATCTAGATGGGCTACCTGATCTTGTGCAGTTGCTCTGCATCTGGATTACACAGACAGATCCAGGCGTGGTTGCAGAGGGGGATTGGAGCCAAAGTAGGCCTGGAGGAGATGAGGTTTGAGAATTTTCTTCATCCTCCCACATGAACTTCTTCATGTGCTTTTCTAGTATCTTATGGTGCTTGTTAGTATCTTTTTCTGCTGCTTAGGAGGAACCCTTAGAATGCTTCAATTTGTTTTGAGAATTTGACATGACTCTTGAGCTACTGCTGCTTGCCATTGTGACCGCTTATTAAATTTTACTGTTGATGAGGCTGAAATGTTGGGCGGTTGGCACACCCAGGGGCCTGAACCAGCAATGGCCAGGGAATCCTAAAACAATGCTCCCCAGTTTTGTATAATCTTATGTAAGAATATTGAATTGTTATTCTTGTTCCTGTTATTATTGTTATTATTACTTTGTTATTAATATTATTATTTCTGAATTAGCCAAATTTGGAACACCTCATAGGCCTAGAAAGGAGGAATTGTTGAAATAAGATGTAGGCCTGCGACAGCTTCCTGAACAGGCGGACACCGGCCTTGGTGCTCTCTGTGGTGCTGCTGTTTAATTCTGTGAGGGTGTAAGCCATCAGTTTCCTCCTTAATGAATAAGGGTCCAAAATAGAATAATTATATCTGAATATCTATCTATATATATACACACACACATATGTATTAGGGTGATTTTCCCCGGGTTCCAGGAAGGAGACCCCTGCTTGGGGAAAAAAAAGCCTCTCACAGTTCCAGAAATAAAATGCAGATCACTACCACATGCAATGGCACCAGCCATTATCTCTTTAAGCGCATAATGAGTTAAATCGGCTCAGCAGCACTTCCATACCTTGTGGGGAGTTGATACTGCAGAGTTTCCCCTTGAATAAAAAGGTGTGGTGGGGCAGATGGGTGCTGATGCCCGCACCCCAGACAGTGTTCTCAGGGAGAGAAAGAAGCCTCAGACTCTTTTAAAATGGAGCCTCTCCCGTCAGGCGCAGGCAGCGGCAATCGTAGTGGCTCAGCTTGAAAAGATCGTAATGGTATAGGCTAAGAAATGTGAGTTGTTAGCCATGCAGCAGAGGCGTTATCGTCTCTGATCGTCCTGGAGGCGAGAGATCATTATCTGAAGCTACAGTGAGCTCCCTCGGCTTGAGTTATATGCCATAGGGAGCTGCTTGACTCATTGAAACTAAAAGCCTTAAAGGAATTGTTTAGAGTTTAAAAGCAAACATGTTTGTTGTCTCCTTATGAAGCCTTTGCTATTCCGGCCAAGGGAAAGGAAATTAAGCTGCCTATATCCATGAAGGCTGAGCAAAAACTGGGGACACTAGGGAGGAGTCCCGTGGAGGAGGAGCGTCCTCTCAATTAAAGCCCAGCCTATTAGACAAGCGACAGAAGCATCATCCCAAACAAACAATGGATGCTCTGAACAGCTCATCTGGAGAACAAAGTAAAATTGGGAGATGTGTATGGGCTAATTTAGATCCAAGGATGATCAGATCAAAACTCTCCAGAAACATCCTTGGATCTAAATTAGATCTAAATTGGATCTAAATTATATAAAATGTATGGCATTCAGCTTCGTTCGGGTATTTTCCCACATCATTGTAGTTGTGCTTTTAAAGTTGTAGCAATGTTTCGGCAGAATCTCATCTGCCATCATCAGGCTTCTGTATATATATATATATATATGTGTGTGTGTTAAAAAGCAATGGTAGAATACATCCTTGTTTTACATTTGTGTTTTATGGATTGAATAAAATCACTTCCCTTCCAATTACCACAACTCAATTTTAACAGGAATCTTCGTCTGTAGAGGATCAGCTTATTGTTGAGATATTATCAAAAGTTGCCTCAAAATCAATAAAAGCTGCATATAAATTCAAGTCAGTGGTTTGTATATTTATCTGCCAGATGCTGAAGCACTAGGCAATGGTGTATAGAACATCCTGTTTGAAATCTTGCTTGCTCTGGGTCAATTTATTCTGGCCTCTATTATCCAAGATAGGAGTCTGATAAATAAATATGTGGCATATGCTAATGATGTTCAATAGGGACTAATTGGCCTATATTTAGCCAGATCATCCCTTTTAACATAATGGGTCAATTATACTGTAGCTTCCCCTCAATCCTCTGGAATCTTGGCTGTCTGGTTAAGGTGTGAAAATAAAGAGGCAATATAGGGGCCTACAAATCTGTATTAGATTTAATTAGCTCATGGGGCATACAGTCAATCTCTGGGGGCTTTACCATACTTGAGCTGATGAGTTAATGAGTTTTTGTACTTCCTTGCGTTTGATTGGAAGCTACAGTGGCAGTGGGGATAATATCTATGGAGATTCTGAGTCTTCCAGGTCATGGTTGTCCCAAAGGAACTGGACTTTCTGGTTTTTCTTTGAAGACATTTCACTTCTCATCCAAGAAGCTTCTTCAACTCTCAGCTGACAGTGAGGATAATGGTATATTCATCACATAGGGGGTAGCATGTAATGGGCTTGGAAGTGGTGCACCCAGGTACTTGAGAGATACCATAATGGAGTTGTATGATGTTGTTATGGTATGCCAAAATAGGGAGTGAATTTTGGACTGTGGCTTCAATTATCTATGACCATTTTTTTCCTCTGTAATCTTGAACTGTTTTCTTTCTGATGAGGGCCTTATATTTATGTTCCTTTAAAATTTGAGTGGATCTGGTGAGTTGGTCTTGAGTAAGAAAGCAAGGATTCAAATAATGCTGTTTATCAAACAATTTCTTAGAGTGCTATCCCCTCCTGATTGGATTGGTATTCGCCTTCATTACAAAAGATTGGAACTTACTATGAGATTATGATATACATTAAGTATTGTATTACCTTGTAGGACAGTCAGGTCTGAGCATGCCCCTATATTACAGAAGATTGAAAAGTATGCAATTCCTTCCTCCAAGTGAAAGCATTGGACTATCCTACCTTCGAGAGGGTCATTCCCTCTGATCTCATTAGGGCTACCTTGCGTCAGATATTTTAAATGGGTTTCAACTTGGTTCCTACTTAGGCCTTGTCTAACTTTTCAAATGAAATTTAAGGGGAGATGATCATTTTCAGTCCTGGAGATTCATAACGTATCTTTCACTCTTGTAGAGATCATTCTCTGTGCATTTTTTCTTGATCCTGTAGGCTAAATTAGAAAATTATAGAAGTAGAATGTCACAATAGTGAACCATTTCATGGTATGGACATGTCCATGAAATCACCAGGTCTCTTTTTGTTAACTTCCTGATCTGGGAAGAAGGGTTCAAGTGTTTCCCTTTTCTTTCCTGCATTTGGTACTGGACACATAGAAAGGAGGAATGGTCCGTTCTGCCTGAGATTTCTCTGTTACTGATACTGAGCACTATCAATGCCTGACAACAAAATGGAGGCCCATGGGGAAAAAGCTTTCTAAGTGGGCTCTCCTTTTCCTCAAACCCACTCCAGGTACTTTGGCTCAAGGCTTCTATTGTCCTAAGATGTTTTGCCTTAGTTTACAGCAAGTTTGAGGGGATCTCAATTATTTAAAGTCAACAGGACCTCCATTCTAAAATGTGCTATTAATGAAAAGCAAGAACACTTGCAATATTTTTCTAACCTATTCTAATTTGTAGGCTCATTGTTCCAGCGGGAAATAATCAGATTCATCATAGGTTTTATTGTAAACTGCCCAGAATCACTTAAGTGAGATGGGTGGTGTAGAAATGTGATGAATGAATGAGTAAAATTTCAGTTTCCAGT